TACTGTTATACAACTGACAGAAACAGATGTGTTAGGTCATACTTTCATCAAAACTCCTGTGACAAAGTCTTTACATAAAACCTACTCACTTGTCTAGAAAACTTCCCAGCTTTTTAGCGACGTGTGTTTGAAACCCTTTTGTGACCTGGAGCTCGTTTCCATCATGGTCATGGTCAGCAACAATAACCCTGAAGCACAACAAGTAAATAATATTATTTCAATCATGATTTTCATACATTTGAATATCTGTTGTAACACACTTTTCAATTGTATGTTGCACATTTTATTAAGTAGCCATAACCTATACATGTAGCCTACTATCAAAACGTGCTTATCATTGGAAGCAGGAAGTTATGGCTTTGAACAATGTGTGGAGATTTTACATCAGATATCTCTGCAAACATTTTGAGATAGTAGTTATATTGAGAAAGGTCTTACCGCTTGGACTGTGGTGCAATGCTGTCTCCCTCTGCAGCAACACAGAAACATTAAAGCAGGAAACATCATGTCAGAATAGTTTGCCAGTCTGAGTTTAGCAGCAAGCCTAGTCTGCTAAACCAGGAGAAAGCTAGTAAATATACCATATTTAGTGACCTCTTTAGTCCGTCAATGAAAAATAACTCTTACAATGATGTACTTCTAACTGGCATGTAACTTTGAACAACCCTAAATAAAAACCTCTGTCCGAAAAGAGATCTTATTGGTTCCCCTGTCACCACGCTAATGTCGTTATAAGGAGTTTATCTACCTAAAAAGACATGTTCATTTTATTCCAAACAATTCACACTCAAGAAATACTTTCACCTTTCTTCTTGTCAGTTTTGGCCTCCCAAACTGCCTCCTTACATCTCTTAAGCACCTCGTCGTCACTGCTGCTGGAGTCTTCAGAGACACCAACCATCTTTTTAGAGGGGGACGCCATGATGAAAACATGTGCCGCTAGTGTTGTCTGTTTTGAGCCGAGGATTCTGGGTAACGTAGTCTTTCAATTCAAAGTTTATTACTGATTGAAGGTCCAGATAAAAAAATTAAAAAAAAAAACACCACCACACATAGAAAGACAGCGCAATGACATAAAAAAAATACAAAAGCAGATTCAAAGGTCATAATTTATATACAATATGTAGCCTCGACCATAGTGGTAGAAGAGGCATCTGTATCAATGTCTTCAAAACTGTGACTGGAACACACAGTGCTGTATCTGGTGTTGTCCAGGACCAATATGGTTTCATTCTCAGAGGTGTCAAGTCCACAAGTAATTGTATACACAACTTGGAGCCTGGAGAGTATTGATTTGAGCAGTTGTAACACATTTCACTGTCTGCTCCGATAAGTTTTGTAATATTCTCAAAGCATCATAAGAGCCTACTTAGTCTCTGCATGCCTGCTTGCCTTCTTTTAGTTCGTCCATGAGTGTGCAGTATAAAGAGGTGTACAATGTGTGAGGTGTGTATTGCCTGTAAATGTAAATGCCATTTAAAAAAAAAAAGATGTCAAGATTATTGTTCTGTAATTTGACAACAGTACTTTTCAGTGTCTGATCCTCTTTGGTGTGACAGATCAACACAGCATTCTTACTGGCATTATATTGGATATCTTGTTCAACACCACAGACCATACAGGCAGCATGAGACCAGCTGTGCTTGGACCGAAAACAGCCTCCTCATCACCTGCATAAGATGGTTCAGTCGACTACTAATCATGCTCAGCAGGCTATCAACTGCTTGGACAGTTAATCAATATACAAATTTAAAATAAAACTGGGGACAAAATTCCCCTTGTCCAACAGCATTACTTCCAAGATTCTCACTGAGTTTGAGCTTTCCTCTTTCAGTAATTTTATCACTCAGCTATGATGAACTCAGTCAAAAGCTTTGGATGCATTAGTAAAACACATAAGGTCTGACGAGTTCAGACATCTATGTCTGTTTAAAATTCTCTCTGGAGCATTTAAGTCAGGGCCATGATTAGCTTTAAACCCAAACTGGTTGTCTGATGAGTTAATGAACTATAAGAACTCCTTTCAGGACTTCTGATAGTATGCTGACTTAAGTTATCTATGTGCCTGTAGTTATCTATGCTGCAGAGCTTGCCAGCATTGTCTTTAATGACTGGATCTTAAAGAACAAACAAATTATCAGTCAAGGAGAACTGTGTGGAGACATATTGACTCATCCATGCTTGTTTTCATCATGGGAAAAAAAAGAACTGACAGGCACTAAATGAAAATGAAATAGGTCAACCTAGTTCTACTAAACCACTTTGTAACCACAGAGGAAGTCAGATTTTCAAAAGGAAGAGCTGTACAGTCATAATGTCATAACAGAAAGTAGGATTTAACAACACAGTATTATATTAGGGGAACATATGGTGCTATATTTATGTCATGAACATAATATTAAGTTTGAAACTACTCTCCTTAAAGGTGTGCGTTTATGAATATCAGCAGAATATGTGCAATTTGTAAAAGTTGTACATTTAGAGGCCACATGACCTTAACCTGCTCTAACCATTCAGTTCAGTGTGTTGCTAGCTGGAAGGAAGACAAGTCCCCCTAAAGAACATTGATAAAATTAGATTAAGGAAAACTTAAATCAATGTGAGCATGTTTTTTCAGTAATCCATTTTTATTCACAAAAGAACTGATACAACATGTGTAACCTTTGTAAAACCAGCCTGTACTACAAGAGAAGGAGTCAATGAAAAGGTTTACAGGATGGATTCAGACATTTTTAAGGCCAGTCTTTTTTGTACAGATATATAAGGTGAGGTGAACCCATATTTAAAAAAAAAAAAAGTAGCATGATCAGATAAAAACGACAACAACAAAAACTGTCAAAACAATGTAACTGTGAGATAAACACATGGGATCCATGTTGACAGCGCTGCAAGACACTGTGAGATTAAATGTGAACGAGAGGTTGTGTGAAAGGAAGAACATTTTACCCATCGGCTCACTGCTTTAAGGAGTCCCTGAAGTCACAGTTAAAAATATCATCTTGAGAGGAAATAATTATAATCTTGTAGAAACACGTTGTCCTGTTACACTAGTATTGGATAATGTTTGTGCACTAATGATCCTTTTACCTGTACGGACAAGATAATAACCTGTGAGCACAAAGTTAAAACTTCAGGGGCTCAGTTCTGTTGATCAACATCTCTTGGATGTGAGGCACTTGGCGCCACTACCAATGTCAAATATTGGAAACCAGGATTGTGTGTGCAGTACTGGCCATTAGTAAGGTTTAAGAAACCCATCCTGCCTCCGGGTTTAACACTGACTTGTTGACTTCTGTACAAGTTAAAACTTAAAGGACTCTTACTAACTTATCAAATGAGATGTTCAGACCCAAAATACCTGGGAGAGCAAAGGCCTCATCCATTGTCTTCATTGTTTGTGTGCTCAACCTTTCAAGAACCTTTCAGAAACACCTGTCAGTCGATGGAAACAATGCAGCAACATCACAGCCTGACCATAGACTCCAATTTACTAAAGCACAAAAAAAAAACATCACAATTTTCACTATAAGAGGGTTTATTGCAGGGACAAAATGCAGTAGATTGTACATGAGGAGTTTATAGAGTGGAGACGTGCGTAGAATGAAAACTTTACACAATTTGTATGCAAAACCATAAGCTCTGTTCTTAAAAAAAGGGCTTTAAGGAAAAGAGAAAGATTAAGGACAACTTCTGTATCCACCCTGCTGCGTCATTAAAAATAGATCAAATAAGCTACATTACTTTGTGCCGCTGTGTTGTGTGCTACTGTGGTGTTCCACTGGTAGACTAAAAACCTGAGTGCAAAGCAGCAAAGGAGAAACTTGCCTGCAGATGTACATGTACTGTCTGCCAAACGTAATCCTAAAGTGTGGGATTCACAGTGTTCTTGTGCCAAATAAACCAAGAAGACAGGCTTTCGGGATTGAGTTACTGCATTTAAGAAAGAGCAGTGATTTAGTATCATGTGGATGATTTGTCCTTTCCATGTTTCCAAGAGTGTTCATGTTGCACTGTTCAACTGAACACACACACACACACACACACACACACACACACACACACACACACACACACACACACACACACACACACACACACACACACACACACACACACACACACACACACACACACACACACACACACACACACACACACACACACACACACACACACACACACACACACACACACACACACACACACACACACACACACACACACACACACACACACACACACACACACACACACACACACACACACACACACACACACACACACACACACACACACACACACACACACACACACACACACAAGACTCCAAGACAAGAACTAATGATGCTGTAAACCTTAAAATGAAAAAGTAACATGCTATGATATGATATGACACCTGGCATTGTGAATAAAGCTCAGGCTGTTCTTGTATTTAAAGACTTCCTACTTAAGACAACCCTAATGCTGACAACAAGCTTTAACATCCGACATGAACAATCCCAAAGACTTGACGACAGCTAGAAGACAGTTCATGAAGAGCGAAACTCTACTGCTACATGATCATGTAGGTCTAACAATACTGTAAAACATCTAGTTAATGCTCAATTTTCCAAACAGGAAACACAATTGTCACTTTCAAAAAGGTAGTCAAACAATATCAATGGGAAAAACTATGTCCTTAAGTGAATGAGGGGGTCTGTGAGACTAACGGTGTTTTCACACATGCACAAAACATCTAACTTTTTTTTTTGGGTTGAGCTGCATGTGTGGAAACAAACAGCTCAACCCCCTCCCCGACTTTACCCAGATATTTTCTTACCAGCCTCCCAGTAAAATTTCCCCTGAGAAGTCTTGGTGAGGTGATGTGTGAACGCAGAACTAATAGTTATATTCAGGAACATTACCTGCAAGTGAGTGGGCGGAGGTAATGACTTTTATATCAAGCGACTGGTGTGTGACTGCTGCAGCCTTCCTACGTGCAATGAAGCTGCTTCATATTCTTTTTTTCTTGCCAGTGTGTTTTTTTTCTTCCACTTGCTGGTTGATATGGTGGATACATCCAATTACACGTAACATTTATATAAAGGCAACAAACTGTCGATATAGTGTTGGTCTCTGCTGCTGGTTTAGCAGCATCTTTTCTATGTCATGTCTTTTCTCCTGAGAACTCGTCCTCTGTTGGTCAGGGAAAAGTTCATGCTGTGGGGGACACATTTCTAGAAGTTTAATGAATGCGTGTGTGAAAACAGCTTTAAAGTGTCCCTTTCCAGCAGAGATACTTAAGGCAAAAGTGTTCAAGCAGTAACATTCTACTCATGATGACAAACCGTAAGACAAAACAAAAAAGGTTTCAGTCAGCTTTGACAGAGAGATATTTAACATTCCTCAGAGTCCAAGAAACTAAGCTCCATGAGGTACTGATGATCGACTCCATGATTTCATTTGAAGGCAGATGTGTTCCAATGATTCTGACCAATGTGTTATGTTCATAGGAATGTCCACAGAAGGAGGGAATACTTTCTGTCCCCAAAAAGAAGCTTTTGGAGAGTAGCAATCCATGAAATCCATCCCCTGTGAAGTATTGCACACTTTTTCTCTCTCAGGTATTACAAACCGCCGTTATACGCATAATCTGCCTTATTGTGCATGATGAGTTTGTTGTCGACAAAGTAGAAACTGTCCGATCTGGTCTCGTAAGGATGTGCTACCATTTGGCGAACTGGAAAAAGAGAAGGGTATGAAAGATGGAAAGGTGGAACATGAAAGAAACACAGATTAACGTTTGGATTATTAAACAGAAAGATACGACAGCAGAAACACAACTGACTGTTCTAAATAGACAAGTACTCACTCAGGTCGTCTGGAAGCTGTGGAAACTCGTAAATGTGTTCACATGTATTGCGGCTGTTGGGGATGCAAAAGCCGAAGTCGAAGTCAAAGTTTTTGAGAAGGCGTCCCTGGAAGTAATGCCTCTCGATCATTCGAAAGCTGTTGATTGGTTGGTCGCCCACTGTGAACTCCACACTAAGGGTTGGAAACAGACACAAGGTGTGACAAAAAGTCCCAAATAGAAACGTGTCTCTTGGGATGACAGAACAGAAAAGTCTGGTCATGATGTTGTTGTTAGTTTGACATGGAAAGTTCTGGTACATTTACTTACGTTGCACCAACAGTGCAAAGTTTGAGGAAGGCTGGTGTGAACTGATATCGCACAAAGCGCCCTGCACTGGTGTCTACATCTCCAACCTCATCTTCACCATCCACAGGACCTAATACAGAAAACACTATTACATCACTGGCACGCCACATTCAGATTAGACTGAATTAAAACATCATTCCAAAACAACTCATTAACTGATGTCATTAAAGGAGACAATTAGGTTTCTCCATTTTATTTTGTAACTCTGAGGATGATTTCGTAACTTAGTTAATAAAAGACACAATAATGATGAGAAATTAAAGATTGCTTAAATTTGATTCCACTTGTGAGACTTTCTTTTCCTTGATAGAAATATTTCTGTATCTAAAATGAACCGAATAGAAAATGGTGATGGAATAAAAACTGGTGGAGATTTCTGTTATCCTACTGGATATTGTGCTTTGTTGATTTTACAACAACTTCAAGTCATCAATGCATCTGTATAAATCCCTTTACTAAGTGGTTAACTTAAAAAAAACTTAACTTAACAGTGACACTACAAATAAAATATACAGACTGAGCAGGAAGTTATCGCTGACGATTTCTTTCTTCACAGCACTCCGGCTTTACAAGTAAACCCATCTTTTCAAATGAAGTTAATCACGCAAAGAAAATAGTTATGACTACTGCAGGTAGGTAGCATGAGGCTAAAGATTTTTTAATCCATCCTACATTTATTTTAAGAGCTTGGTGTAGCAGTAAAAAGTTAAATCCCACTTACCGCTGTGAGGAGGTTTGGCTATCTCAAACAGCACCGTTCCCGTCTCCAGATCTCTGATTTTGAAACGAGTGAAGTCGACGTTGTAGATGTTGTCTTCAGGTTTGCAAAGATAATCTGGAAAGTGAAATAAAAGTGGGAGTTCATGTGAATCCAAACACAATCATTGAGTAAGTCAGCATGTTATCTGACAACAATGAAGCTCCCCTTAGCAAACAAATGTCCTTCTCTCCAGTGTCACAGAAAGTAAGTCTTTATGATCCATCCATTTTGTTTTGAGCTAAAAGGCTAACCCTCAGTAAGAGAGGTAAGATAGCACCCTATGAGCAACTAGGGTTTCAGTATCTGTTTTCTGGCTCTTGCACCTCGCAGAAGTGGCGAGTAATGCTATAGCTCAGGCTCCTAACTTTTCAACAAAGTGTTGGGAGAGAGGAGGGAAGTAGAGTCATTGTTGTCTGGTCCGGGAAAAAGACAATGGGGTGCTTAAGAACTAGCTGCTACTGTGGTGGACTTGGTGTCTGATGACAGACCCTGAGGTCTGACTCAGAGGGCCAAGAGGGGCAGAATCTTGGGAGGTGGAAGGCCATGACAATTCAAGGGGGCTAAAAAGATCTAGTGCTATCACATAAACTCCAACAATTCATGGTTTGAAGAGACCTCAGGTCAACTCACATTTTGTTACTTGAGTCTCTACAGTTTGGGGTTTATCTGTGCTTAAAACAGCAGGTTTTGACGTAGAGCTGGGTCTGTTCTTCACTAGCAGAAGATCCAGGGTCAATAATCGCAAACATTACAATTCTAGCACGGAGTCCCAGCTTAGGAGTGATCTAGGAACAACTCTGAGCGAGGAAGGGACTGAAACGTTTAGTAAGGAGGTAGGTTGGTATGACTCATTCTCCAAAAGCTGTGATTGGTTGATTGAAAAAAGATGAATAAACATGGTCTCTTAGTGACAATAGACATGGAAAGACAATGACATCACACTGCTTAATCAATCATGAACACTTTTTCACATGTTGAATAAATTGTATTTGTAAAGCTTACTAAATGTTTGAAACGCACAGGAGGCTCTTCACATGCTGATGGTTACATCAGTAAGTGAAGAGCCTTTAATCAGTGATTACAAGCACCTGTGGAGTAAACCTCATTTAGAGGGACTCATCGTGCATGCCTCACTTTAAACTGGAGAAAGACCAACATGGGTGGAAAGATGGACCGCCCAACTACACTATTCAATAAGAATATTCTTTATCAAGCCCTCGTCTGTATGTCTTTTGTTTTGTGCAAATCCTTCCTTGCTGTACCCTTATATTTATATGTTCATGTTTATTTAAAATAAGTAATTTTAGAAGTTGATCTAATTGATTTTAATATGAGGCTGTGAAAGAACTGTAATTGTTTGTGCAATCATCTATCTTTGCGTCTTTTCGTCATTTTCTCTTCTGCTTGAAAAACTCTTTAGCCTCTTCAAAGTCCTCCTCATACTCGTTTGTCACCTTACGAACTCTCTTAAGGGTTAAGCTGCTCTGTGAATAATGTTGGATCTTTAACACGTTGGATCTAGTCTTAGCTCAGGGGGAAGTCTTTGAAAACATGACGATTGTAAGAATTGTGTCACTACAATCAACTCTTTGTGCTTATGATGTTTTATGATTACGGCCTCAGGTGTCCAATGACTCCGATGACCAAACCCTTTCAGTAACTATCGAAGACAACTATCTTAAAAACGCCTTAAACTAAAAAATAAGTTGGCTGCAAATGTCTGAACATGATTGTGAAACTGAAATGGAACAAATAGTTAAGTTTCCCTTTTGAACAGTCACATCTGAGTCATGTTGAGCCTTCAGGGGGAGAAATAAAAATGTGAACTGTGAAGAGACAACACGGTGGACCCTCACTTGACTCTGCAGTCCCCCTCAGTTCTAAATAAACTTTCAGCTCCTTTTCATTTAGTGAAAAGCTCAGCATTTCCATGATCAGCAGCAAACAGTTTAAATAAGCTCTGATGAACCCATAAATACACACATGTTCCTTTCAATAGACTACACAACAATGACATCTGTGAGGCCAGATATCTTTCTTAGCAGTAGGGAGTGACCAAACAAGGAAACTAAGATGATGAAATTTACAATTCCCGGGATAAACATGACTTTAGTTTAGTTGAATTGTTTGCTTTACAGCCCCAGAAAGACACTATTGTGTACTAGTGAGGTCTTTGGTATTTCAGGGGTTAAAAAAAAGGGGTGCTCGAAAACATCTTCTGTAGGCGGCTGGGTACGCCCCTGGATACATCTACTTTCTGGTTAACACCAACGAGAGAAAATGTTTAATTTAAAGTGAAGTTAAGAGATTATCTTCAAATGACCAAATGAACACCACGCACACTTAACAGACTGTGTGTGTGTGTGTGTGTGTGTGTGTGTGTGTGTGTGGGGGGGGGAGCGTCTCGTAACTTAGCCAGGATTAGAATAGGGGTGTCATTGTACCGACTTTAATAAGTTAAATTCACACATCTTACCCTCCGTGACAGCCCGGAGACCCAGGACATGATCCGGGGAGATATCTCCAGCCAGAGCCCGGAGTTCATCCTCAGTGACCACGGGCCACTTCTCCGTCTGACTGCGCCTCGACTTCAGCTTCTTCAGCATTCCTCCAGCTGTCTTTTTATCCCTGTGCTTCGTCTCCGAGGCGTCTGCGTCCGTCTGACTTTTGTTCAGTGCCGGTGCCGGTGGTTTGTTTCGGGAACCGTTCATGCCGGACACCAACACACCGATGAGAAGAACAGTCGTGCCTCTTTATTTGAGACTTGACAAACTGCGGGTGTATTTTCAAGATGGCGTTAAACGTGTATCAGAGACGGATATGAAGGCTTGTGATTGGCTGAGGACGATGAAGATTGTCATAGTTACCGAAGGGGTACGAATGGTTTATAGCCCGGTGCTTTCCGCTTGTTCTTCATTTCGGGTGTGTTTCTGTATGTTTTACATTGACTAAAAAACATAGTTAATCAGACACTTTGTCCAGTGTAAACGCTATCGCATTTAATCCCTCACTTTTTTTTGTAACGATATGGTGATTCAGTACAATCTAACATGTGTTAGGTCGGTATCGTACACTATGCATACAGCAGATCTATTACTGTCCAGCAGGTGGCACTGCAGCACATGTTTAGGTAGCAGCAACTTTGATGACGGAAGTTCCCACCGAAGAAGATGGTTCGGGTGAAGTCGAGGTAAAATGTGGTCTCTAAATTACACTTTCTCGCACTGTTTAAACGTGTTTATACGTTTCTGAGTGGTCATTCTTTTACCTGTAGGTATTTGCTGTTGGAGGTCAACGTGACAGACAGGAGCCGCCTGTTGCTGCTGGATGACCGAGCTGTGTTCAGGGCAGTGAAGGCTGCCGTGGCCCGCATACATGGAGACTACGGGGCGGCTCTCTGCAGCATCAGGATGTCTGGTCAGTAGTTGTAGATAAAGTTGAATATGCAACATAGATAACCTTCAAAAACACGGAATGGTACCTTCTCTTGATTTTCTTTCTAGGTACCGTATATGGATACAGTTACACAATTTCCCTTAACTAACCAAGCTAAATCAAATTAATAATTTGATCATTGTTGCATCCCGTTTTAATTACTTGCATATTTGTTGTCTATTTCTGGACTAGAGAATTAATTTGAATAAAACGTCTAATGTTTTGAATTGTGGTCAATAAAAATGTATTATAGACTGTGCTATATGCAAACTTAAACAAACCCCTCACCTCATGTGTGCAGATCCAGATCCTAATATATGTAGTAGAATGATCCAGGAATGTAAACACGGACACAGTGATACTTGCAGGAGTAATATTGATAATAACCTAAATCATTGGATATGATTAACTTTAGAAATACATAATAAAAATTACATTCAGCCATGTTAATAAATAAACGAATGTCATGTTATATTGTATACATTAGTTCTGTTGTTCCATTATTATTCACCATGCACCTTAATAACTTATCATTTAGTATTTGCCTACTTGCACATAGCTCTGTATATATATATATATATATATATATATATATATATTTATTTTATTTCTTGTTTACTGCACATAGGTCTGTTTACATCTGGTCACTACTGCACATAGTTATGGTTACATCTGTTAGTCTGATCACTGTCCACTTATATCTACTCTTATATTTTGTATTTCAAGTTAAGTTTAAGCTTTAAGTTGTATTTAAATTGACACTTTATATTTAGGTTAAAATGTTTCGTTTACTTGCACTGTTGTTAATTTACTGCTCTGTGTGCCTTTGAATTGCCCCCCCGGGGACAAATAAAGTTTTTTGAAATTGAATTGAATTGAAGGTAATTTGCAAACACAGTTCGCCTCGACACATCCCTGTTAAATAAATGATTTTTATATTGCCTCAGACTAGTGCCTCAGAGTTTCAGTTAAGTTTTTTTCACAATAGACTGTTTGCAAATAACCTGGACAGTAATTTATTTATTTGCAATTTGATTTCTGTCCCTTCTCTATTTGCAATTAACACTCAGACATGTTGGCAGGTGACTTGAAATGTTTACTTGCCACAGCCATCATTTACTCTACATTTTGCAGGTTGTACCTTGGTTAATTACTTTCTGTGTTTTTTTTTTTTTTTTCAGTGAAATATCTGAATGCTCTTACAGGCATTGTGTTCCTGCGTTTCCCTAAAATGTGTTACAAACTTCTCTGGTCTGCATTGCCTTTCATCACCTGTATTGAAACCCAGGGGCAAAACATCCCATGTTTTCTCAACTGTTTACATGTTGGAGGTAAGAAAATATCAGTAACTATTTCCCAATGAATCAAAAAAAAAACATTTAAACATCTTTAAGAAATAATGATCAATAATGAATTGTTATTTTTCCCCAGGAACAATTAGAACATGCCAGAAGTTTCTGATCCGATATCACACGCAGCAACTCCATCGAATTCTCCCTACATGTAAAGATGAAGGTAAGGAATTAATATAATGCTTTGAAGTAATCCAGTTGTTTTTGTTAGTTATTCATTTATTTGTTCTTGTGTTTTTTAAGAATATTTTTTATACTTCCGCAGTCTATGGTTTACTGCAAACTGCTACATTGAATAGAATACTTTGAAAGGACGTTGCATGAAAATACAAATTGACTGGTTAGTTCTCCATATTGTCTTTTACAGAAGAGAAACAAGAGGTTCGCGAAGCACTTCTGAACTGCTCTCTTACTAGACAGAACAAGGAGGCATCTGAGGAGGAGTATGTCAGTGACGAAGATGAAGAGGAATCTTTCAGTGAGGAGAGGAAGAAGAGTGACTGCATAGCATGCAGTAAATGAACAGCAGCAGAAGATCTCTTTTTAGATTTTTGTTTCTGCTCAAAGTTTTGTATGGGACTGACAGAAAAGAAGCTGTGAAGTATTTATAAAAATCCCTCTCTAGAAATGGTTTACCCAAAATGCATTGGTTAAAAAAGAAACTGTCGGACTATATGTCTTTCTTCTTTAATGGGATTCAATGTAGGTTTGTTACACTTTGTAACAAATTATTGGGCTGGCTCCTTTTAGAGCAAGTAAGCCTGTTTTATCTTCAGAGCACCTTAACACTGTTTCTTTTTTGCTATGCAGATGAAGCTCAAAAGTGGTTTGGAAAGGAAGTTCTTATTTTTCTAATGAGTTTATTATGTAATGTTTCAATGGGCTGTAAATGTTACGATTGTTATCAAGAGTGTTACCGTGCTCATCTTTATTTTGTGTACATATTAAAGTACTATTTTGAAGAAACTATATACAATTATGTGTCCTCAAATAACTTCTTCAAACAATTCCAAATAGTAAGAAAACTGATGGTGTACCTTAAACATTGGTGCAGTTTTGCACATGGACAAATTACACATGAACAGCCATGGCAATGAATACTACATGTCCCACAATGCTTCACTGAGCCTCCGAACTGAACTTATTTCAGACGGTACAAGAAACATCCGGGTCTCTCAGATTGCTGTTTGGCGACCCGTCGCCATTAGAGCAAGCGCTTCGTAACGGCTTTATTTTTTTGGTCAAAATCTTTTAATTGACACGTTTTCCAGCTCTTGGAAAACACTTACCGCCTTGTCAAGGGCGTATTGTTTTCCTTAACGAGTAAAAACCTAAAATTCGGGGGTTTTGGCCCCGTGTGACGAGCTTTCGTCCTCTCCACCATCAGACTCCAGAACTTGAGACGCCGAAATCGTGTCTCTTATTTTTCTCGGGTTTGTTTTGCTGTCAAGATGTCGCCGTGATGGGGTCTCCGCGTTTGACAGAAATGAACCAGGGCCTTCGTTGCCTGACCCTCACTCACTGCAACCCGCTTTCCTCCTCAGTTTTTCAGTTTGATATCAGAGAGCTGTGCGGCTCTGTGCCTGGAGCTCGGCCTCTACACTACTCACCACACGGAGACAAACATGGAGAAGAATCCAAACAGCAGCACCAGCAACAAAGTTCCGCCCCGTTCCAGCTCCACAGGACCTACACCGGGCGACTCTAAACCCAAAACAGGTGAAACCCCTTTATAAAACTACATTAATGTCTTCTACACCTGGGCTAAACACTCTTTGTATTGTGGCCTGCTGAGGCCTAGCAGTAGCGCAGAGGTTGTTTATCTGCTCGGGCTGACGTCGTTGTGAAAACATTTGAACCTCTGATCTGCAGCTAATTGTTGCACACAGCTTTATGTTTTCTGTGCTCTTTGTTACTACCACTAATGCTGGATTCGTGCAACACGAATGGAAAAACACTGATCAATTTTAAAATTAATTATGAATAACTTATTTTATTATTCTTAGAGAGTTGTCCTCTTACATTGCAGGAATATCAATTTCACTTACTTTTGTAGACCCTAGTGATTTACTAAATGTTTATTGTTTGTATGTAGTTGGGGACAAACAAAAACCATCACACTTTAGTGTAACAGTTCAAATATTAGGCATTATTATGTAAGGATTTCCATATTCTGTATTCACATAGCAATTGTCTTTTTCTTTCTTACAGAAGGTAAAAACAATGGAGGCTCCAAGCGCTACAGCCGCAAACGTGAGCCCACCTTTCCTAAAACCGACAGTTTCCCAGGCACTCGCCGCACCAATTCACAGAAAAGCAAGAATTTTGACAAGAGACCCCTTCAGAGAGGTGGACGACAGTCTGGTCTTCCAGGTGGAGGACGACGTGAGGAGGTACGTACTTTTAAAGGATTCTATCATCTTATTCTTGAAGATTTTGAACTTTGGATAGAAGCACAACTTTAAGTTTAGATTCTAACAACAGTTTTGGTCCACTACCCTTAAAGGTAGCAGAGACACGCCGGGCCGAATTTAGCCCGGCTCAATTTGCTGGACCGAAGAAAATAAGCTTAAACCACCTGCTGAACTTTACCTTTGAACCACGTGGAGGAAATGGTGGCTTCGGAGATGGAGGCCCCTCCTGTTGGGGCCGCCGAAACAAATGGGGCCACAAGCACAAGCCCTTCAACAAGGAGCTTTTTCTGCAGGCCAAGTAAACAGCCTCTCTGTACCTTACATTATATGCAACAGAAAGCCTTAAATATGTGGGAGTTAACTTACTTTGTATGTTTCAGCTGCCAGTTTGTGGTGACTGATGACCAGGACTACAAGGCCCACTTCACTGATCCAGACACTCTGGTCAACTGGGACTGTGTGCAGCAAGTGGTGAGTGCTTCTCCTCTGTTGATGAAAGGCACCAGTACAAGTGTTTTAGAAATAAAGCTCACACCATGAACAAAAAACAGATCCACAAATTAACAAAAAAATGTGTGTATTTCTCCAGCGCATCTACAGTCATGAAGTGCCGTCTTGTCCTATCTGCCTCTACCCTCCTGTGGCAGCACGCATCACCAGGTGTGGACACATCTTCTGCTGGCCGTGCTTGCTGCACTACCTGTCTCTGGGAGAGAAGAGCTGGTCCAAGTGCCCCATCTGTTACGAAGCAGTTCACACTGCTGACCTGAAGAGGTAAATAAAAACCAAGTAAAGCTTTGTTGATAAGCTCTGGTGTTATGATGTGTAGAAAAGTGTACAAGGAAAACACTGAAGCCCACACACAGAAACAGTTACACTTTTGTTTGGTGTATTTTTTATTTTTTTTATTTCCCCTAACAGTTTTTTCCTTCTTATAGTGTTGTTGCCATGGAGACCAGGCAGTATTTAGCTGGTGAGTTAATCACCATGCGTCTGATGCGGAGGGAAAAGGGGTCTCTTGTGGCCATGCCCAGCTCTCAGTGGGTGAAGGTGGAGGAGCCTGTTCGCTTTGGAGGTGAGAGGACTTTAGTTTATGAAAGTGATGTCGCAGATCTATGTTAACAATTCTGCTCTTTATTAAAGCACCAACATGTAACTTTTCCACCTTAAAATAGTAGTTTCAATGTTGATGTAATAGTACAACAACTTAACCAGGGAGAATGGTGTCTATCCCATGTCCACTAATCTCCCCGGTTGCCTGCTTACAGCACTATTTAAGTTTGGCAGTGGGCCACGGATATCTTGCTATAAGTGGTCAGCATGCAAATAAATAAATACAAGTTGTCTCTACAATAGGCTGAAGACACTAGCGTTATAATTGTGCAAAATCCGGTAATATTATTGTACCTTTTTGGCATGGGTCTTTAGTTTCACACTGCTCCTCTGCTTGTCAACACATGTACGTTGTCTGTGAGGGGGAGCCATGACAGCACTGTATGATTACCTGTTGTCTTTTGCATACAAGTGAAACATTTTCCAACTTCTAATTGTCAGTATTTTATGTGTTAACAAAACCAAATAAATCTGATGACACTTTAAAAGATTACTTTAAAGATTCCCTCACTACCCAATCCACCTGTGATCACGTGTTTTCCAGATGCAGGTCTAAGCCCGTACTCCAAGCTGTTGCTGACCTCCCCTGCGCAGGTCCTGAGCCTGGTTGCAGAAGAGAAAGCTGTTCTGGAGGCTCAACTCAGCCAGGAGGAGGACACCCAAGGGTGCTTCATCCAGAGTGCGCTTTGTCTTTTGCAGGTACGTGCCTCTCTGCACCACATATTGTACAAAAACATCTGTTTGAAATGAGTGCATTAGGATTATATAAATCGAACAGGATTGAAATAAACTTGAAAGAACCTGACCATAAACCATGAATGGATATAAACTGATTGAACTCTCTATATGTCTGTTTTTTAGGAGCGAGAGGAAATGCTGAAGAAGCAGAAGGCTAATGCAGAAGACATCCTCGACTTCTCCTCCCTGACTCTAGAACAGTCTCCTTGTCCCGTTGAAGAAGTGGTTGTTCACACCAGCAGCAACAAGGTGATTCTAACCACAAAACATGTTAACATTAGATCTAACAGTTTAGCATACACTGGAGATGTAATTGAAATATTTGACTTGCAGGCTCTTTCCCAGAACTCTACTTTCTCCTGATAAAATTGTATAGTTCTGATCAATAAGTTATGCCTCTTTCCTTTGTAGCCTGTGCTACAGTATTCCTCTGCATTTGATGATGAAGTGGAGGAGGACCCAGAGACTGAGGAGGACCCAGAGACTGGGGAGGTTGCAGAGACTGAGGAGGTTGCAGATGCTGCTTCTGCAGAGCTGCCAGGCCTCCCTGAAGGCATTTTGGAGTGTGTCCTGGAGGAGCCTCCAGAGGCTACGATGGATGCAGCTCCAGAGCCTGAGCCTGATGAAGCGAGTTCTGCTGGCCATGCAGAGTGTGGCCGACCCTCGACAAGTTCAGTGCATGGACCTTACTACTACTTCTACCAAGGTAAGTAACTCCCTTCATTTGTGCCTTAACCTGTGAGGTTTCCTCCTAACAAAATCAGTCAGACTTGCTTCTAAACTAATGTCTAATGACTAATGTCAAGCTTGGATGTGGTGATGATAAATTTACTTTGAGATAACTATTTTGAAAACTCTCAACTGCCTGATTATATAAACAGTAACTGACAGTTGAATCCATTGACATGAAGACATGTAATAAATTAACTCAAATTAGCTGTTCATCAAAAACAGACAAATCCTGTTTGGTTAGTGAAGATCCCTACGTGCAGTATAACATTAAACACATCAAAAGGAAACGGGAGCACCGGGTTGCTCAGTTGGTAGAGTGTGTGAATTGTGTTGAGGCTCGTTCTGGCTGCATCTGCCCCCAGTTCAAGTCCCACTGTTAACCCTTTGGCACGTTACCCCACTCTCTCTCTCTATCTCTGTATTTACTTTTTATCTTCTTGGTCCAATCTGTTAAAACGAATGCCAAAATAATGATCATTGACAAAACAACAACTGCAAAATCTTGTACATTTGAAAGATTGGTGGGACAAGTGGGACTTGAACCCTAGCCCCCTGATTACAGAACTATAGGTCTCTGTACATGGGATGCGACCTAACTGCTAGGTTTTGTACATTTTAGTCATAGAAACAATGGAAAAAGCCTGTTCATCTTAGCTTAATGAAAAACTGTATGTCTCATATTTCATTGGGGACATAAACTTTCTCTCATTATCTCTTCCTCCCCCTCCATATTTCTTTCTCTAGCTGACGACTGCCAGCAGATGTTCCTGCATCCTTTGAATGTACGCTGTCTGTTACGTGAATACGGCAGCCTGGAGGCCAGTCCTGACTCCATCACTGCTTCAGTGGTAGAGATAGTGGGACACACCGTAACTGAGGTCAGCAAATAAATGAACAAAAATCACATACTGGTTAAAAAACTAACTTCAACCTATCTTGTTTCAGTTTTTAAATTCATTGTCCATGCATGACTTTCTTGCAGGATATTCGTCGCCGTCATCGCTATCTGGCTCACCTGCCGCTCACATGCGAGTTCAGCATCTGTGAGTTGGCTCTACAGCCACCAATCCTGTCCAAGGAAACTCTGGACACCTTTGCAGGTTAGTACACTTTTCCTGGGTTTAGGATGTGACGTTACAGTTATAGAAAGATGATTCAGTAGAATTTAATTGTCGTCTTTGATGCTCTTTTCTACCTTATCAGATGACTTGGAGAAGAGAAAGCGCTTAAGGCAGAAAAAAGTGAGGGATGAGAAGCGCAGAGAGAGGCGTATTGAAATAGAGGAGAACAAGAAGCAGGGTAAATGTAAGTACAGCTGACTGGATCACAACTCCATCAGAAAAATCAATGATGAAGACAAATTTGACAGATTAATAATAATCTAACTGTATTTTCATTTTGCTCTACCCCCAGATCCTGAGGTGCACATTGGATTAGAGAACCTTCATCATTTTCCTGCATTTGGGTCCCCGTTTTACTACAGCAGCCCCCCAGTTCAGCCTGATTTCACATATAATCCCCCCTCACCGCTCAGCACCAGTCCATCCTCTGGTAAGAACAACTTCTTCCTCCGTAAATGTATCATTCAGAGTCTCTGGATGCCTATAGCTGTTGAACAATGTAAATTGAGCAATCCGTTTGTTGTTTTAGACGGGATGAGATTCCCTACTCTGAACGGGCAAAGCTCTTCGCCCATTGTCGGCAGTGTGGAGGACGACTCCCACTGTATGTCCTTTGCACAGGTGTGTATGGCAGACACACAAAGGCCAACTAAGCATAAAAAATGAAAACCGATGATCTTATTATATTCTGGCCTATAATGTATATACGTGGAATTGTCTGACTCTTACCATGTCCCATACAGATGCTAAGAGATGGGAAAGCCAAAGTTGATGCTGGGCCCAGAGTCAACCCAAAGAAAGGTAGAGCAAGAGCCTAGATATTGCTGTTACTTAAACATTTGATGTCACCATTTTGAGAAGAAATTAAATGAAAGTATTGTTTCAGAAACTAATTGTGCTTGCATGAAAATGTGAACTGCAAATTAATATTTGATTGTGAAATGGCCTCCTTTGGAAGAATGGAAGAATATTTTTTACAACCAGTGGAACTTAGAGCTGTAGCGGAGTGGATAGCTCCCTCAGTATACCTTTTTTATAAATTAAGATATCCACAAACATTTTCTTGAAAGGGTTTAAGATACATAAATGCTAGCTGGCACTTGATACCAAGCTGCAAAGGTTAGTCTCAAAATAATTTGAATCACTTGTGTTACGAGCTAGCACCGGCTACACATACATAAAAACAAAAACTAGCCCTAACCTGAAGTGTGACAGAGAGGTCAAGAGATGACAGGTATGGAAAGGACTGATTCTCACACAGGGAAAACACAAGGTTAGGTCAGCTCACCTATACGCGGGTCTGCCGGGGCACCGGACGGCTTTTAGAGCGACGAGCCCAAGCTTCGTCTATGAGTTCAGTTTTGTTTGTGGTGGTTGGATCACATAACATACGGCTGGTTTCTAAAACAAGTCCATGGGAGTGGGTCATGTGTTCGGTCCAACAGCTTCCAATTTGGCGTCCATACGGGTCCTCCGTCAGCTGCCACTTCACCTGTCTTATTACGTCATTTAACCGCTCTTAGCGCACCTCAGGAATGGTGCATTCATAACTATCGGACAATCCAGTAAACACAGCTTAAACCCATTCTCTATTCTCCCCATGAAAACCAGTCCAAGTAATTAACAAAACAGAAGAACCTTACTGTTTCCTAACACTTGTATAATAGAAACAGTGCTTCTCTGCACGTTGTCAACTGTATATCCAAAAACCTTAACAGTCTGATGCTATTTAAACCAGGAGCTAAATGGAACTTCTTTATATTGATGGCTACATGAACTTCAGTGAAAACTATAATTGATTGACTTGTTTTTATTTTTGTCCAAACTATCTGATATAGAGAGTCCCCAGTACTTGCATGTGTGCCTGTGTAAGCTGGTAAAGCAACATGTTATGAAAAGTGAGGTTGAAATAATTTCAGCTTTGTGTATTATTTTGTATTTCCTGTAAAACCTGTTTTTTTGGCTGCCAAGCAGTGTTCTCCCTGCAGGCTTCCTGATGTGAATATTGTGTCTTTTGCCATGCAGATATGCTGCTAGCTCCCCCAGCAGCAGACAGCGATGGAGAGAGCGACGGGTCAGACCGCGTCCCCGTGCCCAGCTTCCAAAACTCCTTCAGTCAGGCTATTGAGAAGGCACTTCTGCAGCTGGACAGTGGTCCTGCTTCTCCCCCTCAACCTGTGGTTGAGCCAGGTGTGGCTTCTCTAGATGAACTGTTTCTAGTATCATACATTTAGGTATTTATTCTGAAGCTAAGTGTCTGTTCTTCATCTCACACTGATTCCTGGTGCCTTCTCTTTCAGATGAGAAAGGAGGAAAGAAGAAAAAGAAAAAGCAGAAAATTCTCTTTAGCACATCCATGGTTCACACAAAATAGACCACACTGAAGTTCAATTACAATCTGTTTCTTTGTTTCATCTTCCCACTTCTCTTGTTTTTACTTCCATGCCGACCTGTCCCAGAACTAAACTATGGAAAAAGGCTTCACTAAGTATCAAAGGTGGTGCTTCTTTTAATTTTTGCTCTTAGAGCATGATCCACCTTTTGGGTTGGCACACCATCAGTTTTATTTGCATATATTTTCAGCTAGCTCATAGCTTTGCAGCAGATTCCTGTCACAAAGCTTCATAGGAAAACATTTATTTCTGATGCTAGGCAAAGTCAGGAATATTGTGACATTAGGCTTTCCAGTTGTGTATGTTTTAGGCTTTTTTTTGCTTCCAGAAACATCAAAGGGGTTGATGGGGGATGTCCACCTTTCCTGAATCAAACCCTGCGAGTTGAATGTAGGATCCTTGAGTAATGTGGTTAAGATCATTCTATGGTGTGTTACTTTAGAATAGCAGTCAGCCAGCTGCAGGTATGTGCACCTTCAAATCTTTCCAGGATACTCAGTGCTCTGAAATCTCAATCTGGTGCTTCACCTAAGAACAGAAAAAACAACAACGAATAAATACTTTGATTTCTTTCAGTGTTTCATTGGTTAGTGTCAGCCTTTTAAAAAGGACAAGTTTTGGGGATTGCTGGTTTGACATAACTGCCCTAGTGTTTTCTAACAACACAAGTACAAAATGTTCTAATACCATAGTGAGGAAGTAAAAACAGTATTAAAAGAGATTAGGTCTGTTGGTTCAACAGAGATCCAGTGTATACTACCTGGTTTATCCGTAAATACGCACTTTCTTCTCATTCATTTCCTCCTCGGTCACCTTCTGTTTTATAATATTTACTAACATTTAACAATACACCCTGTTTATTTTCAGTGTTGGAAAGGTGTGATGCAAAAGAGAAATGCGACATTTAAAAAATGCTGGTGAAACCTGAAAAGAAAGGTGGATCTGAAATGTTTTGTTGGAGGGTTCTTTAAGTCACCTTTAATTTTGAGCAAGTTTAGACTAGTAAGCATAACTAGTCTGTTGAAATGAATAAACAATTATGCACAATCAAAACTGACTGTTTCATTCTTGAATTAACTAATGTCAAGGACAATAAAGGATTATGGGTTGGTGAGCCAAACACAAGAAGTCACTGTCCTATTAGGCATTTGGCTGCCCTCTGTCTGCAGTGTTTACTTTTGTCCACGAGAGGGCAGTCCTGACAAGCAATAGGCACCTTACAATCCATTTCTATGAAGTTATTCCAGCCATAGTCTGTTTTAAGTATGGGCTGCCTAGTGCTACTTAATACAAGGAAAGAAACGGGGTCTGGCATTTCTGGAAATCATAAACATACTGATTTAAACTAAAAACTTGGGTATAGTTGAAGGAAAAATAAGTCAATATTAAAGATTTCAAAAATACATTTGCCAAATTTTTATTCTATTTAACTCTGAAACTTCTATTTGATCCTTTCTGAGGGTCATCCAGGATTCATAAAACTACAACCACAAAGGTAAATCTCCGTTTTTGCTGATAAATGACCAATTAACCCCTTCATAGCTTGGATGGGATAATCCCTCTGTGGTCTGGTATGAAGCCAAAATACGTCAAGTTATCCAGATTTAGTTAACATCATTCCGGAAGTCCAGGTGATTTACCTTTTAAATAAAATATTTGCTATGAAGTGAATGCGTGTCATCATGGGAAACACCTTGTGATTTAAATATCTTAATTAGGTACTCTTTACGATCCGGGTAATTATAACAAAATACGGATTCAAATGCTCAAATGTAGCATTAACGCAATTTGACCTGTTGCTGAACTTTATTTTGAAAGTACTTACCGGAACACTGATGTACCGCTGGCTAACTTGATGCTCGTGCGGAGGCTAACCAGTCAGGCGGCTTGTTCAGCGCTGTCTCGTCGAGCCTGTCAACAACACTAGAGCAACCTGAGACGGGATAGCTAGCGAAGTAAACCTGCTAAGTTAGCCACTCCGCTAGCCCTTGTATTAACGAACTGTCACGACTCGGAGTTATACTTTACACATTGGTTTAAATTGTTGTTTTTAAGTTGTTTCGACAAGGAAAAAAAGGAGCAGAACTGACTTTCCGGTGCGGTAAGTTGTCTCCAGTCCTTATCAGCACATCCAGGGAAAAGACAGGTTCAGTCACTGTTTCCATTTTGGACTTCAGCTTCTTGAGTTGTTAGCTATCCGCTGCTAACGAGCAAGCTGGTGAAACCTTCATTGTTTTAATCTCTAATGAGTGTACAGGTTGAATACGTCGTAGTCATTCATTGCTTGTGCACAGTTGTTGAACATTCAAAGCTCACTCTTGTCTTTTACCTCGGTGATAGGTAGTTAAGGTGAGCGGACAGGAGAGGAGGAAGAGTTAGCACTTGTTGCAGTTTTTGGACGGACTGAAAGTAATAGAAAGGGCTGTTATGAAACCCTTAAATCAAGGTAGAGTAGATAATACAAATCTGCCACCTAAGTATGTTGGTTCATATAAAAGCCCTTTGATTGGCTGGGATATTTATCCTTGTGCCCTCATTATACAACTACAGATCTCCTTCCTACACTGGATCATCATGTTCTTATTCTGATACATTCACACACAGGGTAAAATATGTTTTTGGTCCTCTTGGATGACAGAACACAACCATAGTTATGTCATTAGTTGCATATTTGTGGACTGTAATTTAAAGTTTTAAGACACACACTACCGGGTGTGAATACACTTTCAGCTTTTAATAGATCAGTTGACGTGAAGTTGTCTATTGTCTACAGCTTCCTTTGTCTAACTGGCTAAACCAGGTTACTGGTTTGATTCACAACACAACAAACCCTAAAGTTGGTTTACCCTCTGCCCTACTCTGTCTGTATTTTGTTACTGCCAAAATTGCAAAAAATGTGCATGTGACTTTTGCTGAACCCAGCTTCTTCAAGATTCTCGCCCACTGTTTTGATTATTTATCACATCAACTCCTGCTAGAATGAATGCAGATGTTGGAGATGGTTGTCTTCTGTTGTTTCTGGCTTTTTTGAAATGAGCCTGATGCAGAATCCTTGTATGTCTAAAGGTCTATATAAGGCAGACACGTTCCTAATCCCTGCTGTGCTGCTCGACCCACCATCACTGGATTTTTAGCATTCCATCTTAGCGAAGGCGTTTCCTGTCAACATCCAAAGTTCAAGTTCTCAAACTTTAAAATCCCTTGTAGCCGTGTGCAAGTCTTTGCGCTTTCTCTCTATCTTACTGTTTCATTTATACCCTTTTTTTTAAATTTATGATGTATTGCATTTATAGATAACAATATGTTGAACCTTATCAGTGCAGGTTTGTGAAATTACTTGCACTGAAGAGGAGCAGCCATGGAGAGAGAGGAATGGCTGTAGTGAAGGAGTATAAACATTTCTGGTTTCAATGAAACCAGATTAAATTTCCATAGATATAGTGTGTGAGTGACAGGTGAGTTGTGATCTAGGGCACAATGCAAATCAAGAGGAGGTAAAAGTAAACATGTAGCTGCAGCAATCAGTTAATGACTTTTGACTGCTTTTTGTTGTTTGTTTTTTACAGCTGGACTTACAGTATGTCATAAGCTAGAACGCATGTTTGGGTGTGACTTTGTGAACTCAAGTCTGTGTCAGAGTAAACATGATTATCTGTTTGCTTCAGTATGGAGGCGTGCAAACACCGCAGCGAGGAAGCATTCATACGGCTCCAAGTAGCCTTGCTGTGATTTTGTTTACTACAGCAGTCCTGTCGAGTGAAAAGCTTGTGTGCTTTCTTTCTCAGGCTCCTTCAACTCCCTCCTCCTGTGTGATATGACATCGCTCCTTGGTTACAACAAAAGCCAGAGCTCTACAGCAGACGGTTGACATCTGGTCAGGTAAGACGTGTCGGGATTATTCGCAGCAGTTTGATCAAGCATGTCATTTTTTTTCGGAAAGGACTGTTGTTCTTCTGTGCAGTGCTGTATCTCTGCACAGCAACATGTGGGAAGCATTATCATTGGTGAAAAAAGCCTCTTAAAGGGCTCACACAGCTGTGCTGAGTTTTAATGTTTTCTGTCTTTGTTCTCATTATGGGAACAACTAATAATAAAACAGATTATTGTCATAATGTGTCAGAGGACTGGAGACAGATACACTTGGGTTATCTGAAGTTTATTACTTGGTCTCATGTAGGCTGGAGGCTTGTTTCAAGATAAACATATGAAAGTTCATCAGGGGAGGAGCTAAAATGGAAATGGCCGTCTGGTGTGTGTTTGCAGTGGAATCCCCATTCACTCTCTAAGCCTGATTTGCCTGTGTAACAACATGAAAGGAAAACAATGACATTGTACAGTTGTCCAACCTCTCCCCTGTCTCAGGATCCGCCTTAGGTACCCAGTCCAGATTTCTACTGCACCAGCCAGACAACTTAATTAAACAATTTAAAAGAAATCAAGAGATTTTGGAAGATTACAAATACTTATTACAAATAAGGAATACAACTTCAAATTAAAACATAAATCACAATATTAAAATGTTAAACATTGCTTAAAAATGTAGCAACATAGTGTTTCTAAGGTATTGTAACTTATTTTCTTATTTGCTTTTTTTTTTTTTAGCTCAACCAACATCTGCTTAAAGAGTATTCAAAGTATTTAGCCAAACCAATGTTGTTTATGTAAAACAAAGAAAGCACATTTAAATATCAGACAGAAAAAGTAATTGTAACTTGAGTTCACCACAAACACAGAAGAAAGTCATCTTAATGCAGCTGCTGCTGGAGCAATAATCATATTTCATGTCAGGGGGAAAAAGCACAGGTAAAATTGTTTACATTAAAGATAATTGCATACCATTTAGTTTCCCGTGGTGCAGGCGTTGTTGATTATTAGAAGAATGAGAAACTATCATTTACCAGTGCTTTTTTAATGTACTTAAATGCACCTGTTCATTTTTTTTGCTATCATCATTGTGGAAGTCTTCTGTGAACATGCTTATAGGAAATCAGATAATTTTATATGTAGTATATAATATAATATGTCGTGTTTTGATGGTTAACAAAAAAAAGATGTTTTAACTTACAGTGGGGTGTTACTAATGAAATGATAAATATCTCTTTTTTTATTCAGCTCTCATGGTCAGTAAGAGTGTGTCAGCATGTACAATACATTGACCCTAAAACTGAAGAAATTTAAGGGAACTTGGTCTAGATATTAATTTTATAAATTACATCTGTGGTTTTCCTAATGTTTCGTGTCAAAAATGGCCTTTAATGAAATGTATCTGACAAAGTCTCAGCATCTACCCTTGTGCTGTGAACACGTGTTTTTTAACGTGCTGTAGTGATCAATAGCCTTGTGTAAATATCTTTCTCACCCAGGTCTTTAATTGTGCTGCGTTCAGGCCACTCCCAAGACAAAGTTCACAGTAATAGGAAGACAGAGGGAGTGTTTTGAGGCTAATTATATGTTGGATTTTGCATTATACAGTTCTGTGGTTGAGTACCACAATAGAAAAATGACTGTTGCTTTGTTTTTGTTTTGTCTTTCTGAAGAGATATGTTTCTTCTTATTCTAAGGTGCTGTTGAAGAGGATGGCTGCTCAGGTGGAGGTTCAGGCTGGGGAAGTAGGGAGGACAGGGGTAGGAGGCCGACTTCACCTGAGTCCCCTTACTGACTCCAGCAACAAGAGCCTCATTGAGATCCCCTCCATCAACCAGTCCCATATCATCACTCCTGAGCCTAACAAACCTGCACCAGGCCCCAAGCCAAGGCTTAGTCCCAAACCTTTTTCTGTGGAGAGAAACCCTACCATTAAACCCATTCTTGCCCCTAAGCCACATCCCAAACCCCGGCCAGAGTCCACTCTTCTTCCCGGACAGAAACCAGAGCTTCCATTCATGGCAAAACAACAACAACAACCAGCTGCCACTGGCAAACCAAGACTAGTATCAACCAACCCTAACCTACCTACTAATACTACCTTAAAAACATATAATAAATTGAGCTTTGGGCAAACAACCAAGCCGGTAGTCCATCCATTTAAACCAGCCCCTCCTCTTATCCCTGGA